ATTAAATATACATTTTATAGTAATAAAATGAATTACTCATACTTTTTTTATTTACATTACATTGGCATATTTCTGACAGCTTATTTGTTAAAATATGTTTGTGTTAACGTGACAAAACTAATTAAAAGATTAAGACGATATATGATTTTTTTGTAAATAAAATAAATAGTTTATTATTCGTACCTATAACAAGTATAATAGGTAGGTATACCAAAACTAAGCATAAGCATAGTACCTACTATATGCCCCTTTTTGTTTCACGGTGTACACCATAGACTAGACTCGAAAGTAATATTCCATTAATTATTATATATTAGAGAAGTTTAGTTAGTAGAATTCTTTGTATTTCAAGATGTTAGTGTTTAGAGCTCGTATTTTCTATTTCCCTTGTTATATTATTAACAAAATAATTAAATTAAAGTAGATAAGTTTCTAAGAAATTTGATTATTTATCCGGAGTAAAAAAGCAACCGCGCCGGAAGTTTAAAAACGTAACAATTATTTTAATAAAAAGCATGAATTCCCTAGAAATTGATATTAAAGAGTCAAACGATACGAAGAACGGAAATGCTCGATAAACGCTCCAGTTTACCAAGTACGTCGCGGATAATAATTTTATTATGATTCAAAATTATCATATTTGTAATATAAATTGCGAATAGTTGCCATTAAATGGCATGATTAGAGTTTTTCAGTGATCAGTGGCGGCGGCCAGCGTGAAATTACTGCCAATACGGGAATAAGCGCTCGCGTTTTTATTAATTTCAAAACTATTTATTCAACGTATTGAACGCACTGGGTCCTTATATGTACTTGCACCATTGCAACAATAGACAGCAAGAAAAGTATGATTCGCAATTAAGTATACGATTAAAGATCTACGCGAGCATGAAATGAAATATTCATAATTTAGCCAATAAATTATACTTTGTACATACTGAGTAGTATTTTTAACAGAAATATGATTTCTAAGAGAGTAATATCGATTTGATTTCCGCTAAGTAATATTTAAATTACTTTTTTTTTAATAAATGCAATAATCTCATAAAGCATAGGAACTAAATACCTACTGCCTTAAATTAATATAATGTAATAATGATAATAACTTAGTATAAAATATTAAATAAATCATTACAAATTATATTATTATCTATTTGTATTGAATCAACTGTCAAATATTATTAGATTTATTTATAAAAATCTATGAGTAAATTTAAAAGTATACAGGTATTTCCTGAGACATGCACGCTGTGTAAGTCGCTGTACTGTGACCTAACAGTAATTGCAGCACTTATAGCAGTTTTTCTTTCGCCCATTAGTCCTCTTTACGAGCTTACTGCGCTTGCGCAAGTCGCACGATATCACGATAATACTACTTAGTAATGAAAATAATCTTTCCTTCACAGCTTTAATGCAAATTAGCAAATAGTAGTTACCTAGTCAATGAGAATTTTTAAAATGTAATGTGGCTATCATACTTTGCAATCCACGGCCAGGCGCGGTTTCGAGATATTTGCAAAAAACCCGTTTTATAAACTTTTTCTTGGTTTTTTTATTTTTAATTTCTGACCACACCAGAGACCATAAAACATAAATTTCTCGGAAATGGCTAAACATTTCAATTTCAAAAAAAAGGTTCCTTTATATATTTCGAAGATTATCATATATATATAATATTATCCCCTAGTTTCATGAAAATCAAAAAGTTATTGCAGAAATTTAAAAAAAACTATCGAATTTTACCCATTTTATGCAAAATTATATTTCGATAATTGGGTGGCATTTTTACTATACCCAGGGGCGGCAGTAAGGTTGAATCCGGCACTGGGCATATTTGGGAAATCGGTGATTGTAGGTAGGTACCTATAATTATAAAAAAACAAATAGGTAGGTACTTATATGCCTTTACCATTTTTGAAGTATGTTAATATTATCAATTAAAACCATTAAAGTACCTACTTTTCAAAAAGTTAACTCAAAACTAATAAATAAATAATAAAAGTAGAGGGGGTTTCCATGTCTCATGGGAATTCTAAGACGACTTTTTGTTTTATTTTTCTAGTTGGTATACTCTGAACGAGAATTGGATTTCTACATATCTACCTGTTCCATATTTAAAAAAAATCGTGTGTGTGTGCTTATATAACTTATGTACGCACGTAAGAAGTTATACTTCTTTGGCGTAACAGAACAAAAATAGCTAAAGATTTCATCCCGTAGGTATGTCACAACTCTCTGTTTGTAAAAGTAATGCAGCTAACTTCATCATGTCGCTTTTTTTCTGTTGGTGTACGCGCGCATCTTAAAAATGTTAGTCTCACATTTTTTCCAAACGTGCCAAAAGAGGTGTAACTTTAAAAAAAAACAAAATGCAAAGAGCGGGGTAAGGCTGGAGGTTTCAGAATTTTCATTAGGCATTTTCTTTTAATTTCTTTTTATTATGCTTTTTAAAAGACATAAAATGTTTTATGGGATCTATGTAACCCTAAAAATTACTAGGTATAATTTATATTTAATCCTTAATTACAAATTTTTACATAAAAATATAAACTTTATGAAAAATTGTAAATAAACTTAATTTAGAAAAATACGAAGTACTTATTTTACACGTCCTACGTATCTGCATGAAATATAGCTAAAAAAATAGTACTGCAATAATAATCAGCGGAATATTGACCTAGGTATGATTGTTTTATACAAAACTTTATCTAGGTAACTTTACGAGAACAAAATGCTTAGTATATTACATATGTATTTAATTTTTATAATTAGACTCTAAACTAGCAGATTTATAGCAAATCTTATATTAAGCATGAAATATCGGTCAAGTGCGAGTCGAATTCGCACACGAAGGGTTCCGTCGTACATGTACTTTTTATTAATAGGTATGACTTTTACTCTATGTATGTAGTATACTAACTTCGATGATTGAATGTTAAATATCTCTTGTAGTTTTATTTATTATTATTATTTGTTGTTATAGTACGTACCTATCAATAGAAATACATACTCCGTTAAAGTTTCAACTCTTTACCTATTACGGTTCATTAGTTACAGTCCTCTGGCAAACGGACGAACGGACAGCGGAGGTATAGTAATAGGGTTCCGGTGGCGTCCTTCGGATACGGAACCCTAAATAAAAACTTAAAAACCTGACTTCCAGGTACTAAAATGTAAAAATAAAATAAAATAAAAAATATTAGGTATCTAATAATACGTTTCTATTTTTAAAGGAACAACGCAAATGTTAGATTCGCTATCACATCATGATGTTATTAAAAGTAGTGTATAGGTTAGAGAGATCTAAGTCTAGAGATATATGTAGATTATTTCAATTTTTTATTACTACTAACTGTTATTTATTAAAAGAAAAATGCGGAGCAAGTCAGAAATGAATTAATAACCAAACATTTATTTAACCCTTTATCATCTACACCAAAAATATTACAATGTAAAGAAAGCACAATAGTACTAGTAAGACACACATACCTATAGCATTCATGGTGTAAAAGCAATCTGAATGCTAAGGGGTATCTTCCAGAAAACATACTCGTATATTTGAAAGAAACACGTAGGGAAAAATAATATCTTTTTGATATAATACTAGGTATATTTATTTATATGTACCTATCAACTAGCTGCTCATCCGCGGCGCTTCGCTCGGGTACGCCTCTTAAAAAGCAGAAACAGATCTATCCCTCAGAAACTGTGCATTTTCCGGGATAAAAAGTAACCTGTTGTTTAACCGGCAACATAAGGCATGCCATATTTTATTAAATTAGGTGAATAAGTTGTTGTGTAATAAGCTGTATAAGTTAATATATTTTTTTAACTATTGGGATATATCGGGAACTCCTTAATTTCCGGGATAAAAAGTATCTAAAATGTTGACCGGGGATATAAGGTGGTAAAACCATGCAAAAATTCATTTAAATCTGTCCACCAGTTTCGGAGATTAACTCATACAAACAGATAAACAGGCAAACAGACAGAGAAACAAAAAAAATGAAAAAAAACTGGATTTGTTCTATTTTTCCTCTTACATCCCCCTGACTCGGTTTTTAGCATTTTTTTCTATGGAGAGACATTCGACCTCTACAGTTTTATTATATGTATAGATTTTGAAAAAAATCTAGGAAATTATTCTAATTTTATGTATTACCTATTCTAACTTTATAATTTAACTATTATATGAGATCTTAGTCTAATATGAAAAGAATAGTAGGTACCTACCTACCTACCTTTTAATGATGCTTAAAAAACCGCATCAATTAGTCTGCAACGTGATTACGAAATTAAATCTCGCGAGAGTCGCGTCTGGGATAAGTCTACTACTGGGATAAAATTTACCTTATGTAATTTTCCTCAAGTCAAATTATCTCTGTACAAAAAATTTTAAAACCAATGGTGACAAGAAACACACTTGTAAATTTATGACAGGTTAAGAATTATACGATATGCCGTCTTTAGTCGACATTGAAAAAAGATATGTAAACGAAGACCACTACATAGGGGATATATATATTACACTTAAAATTGAATCCACGATGTAAACGTTAATAGTGAAAGCTGCTTTGAGCCATTGATCAACAAAAACATAATAAACGTTTTAATGGTTCACAGTAAATATTAGCTCGAAAATATGTTTATGTGCCGTGCACAACGGATAAATACCTATAAATATATATATTTTTTGTATAATAAACATTCGAACTATTTTCTAATACGTTCAAGTCTCTTATAGTAAGTACTTAATGTCATCCATATTTCAAAGTTACAAATAGCGGCGTCTGGGGCACGCTAGCCTCAATTTGGCCGAAGCAAACCAATTACGAGCGTATAGTGTCGCCAACTCTCAGTAAAACGCATCGTAAAGCGCGATATCCCGCAGCGAGAACGCTTTATATCGCTATAAAAGCGTTTTATCCACGTATAAAAGCTTAAATCCGCGCTTTCTCCCGCGGCGAGGCAAAAAGAGCATTAGCGCGGCCCCGAGCAACATGGCAGCGGCACGCCCCGAGCCGCCGGCGCGCCGTTGGCCGGCCGCGCCCACCGGCCCGCCCCGCCGCCCTCCGCCGCCCGCCGGCCGCCGCTCGCCCGCCTCAGTCGCACTCGACACCTCGTGCTGCACGCCCGTCTCTGTGCGCTGCTCCGTGCCCTCTCTAACTCTACATCTAATACGCGAACCCAACTCGGTCCACGTGTTTTCCGACGCTGAATCTAACCAAGTTCTCTGTGTCGTAAACATACATTTGCACTGCTGAGGAGAGTGAAGCATCGGGCGGCGATGGTGAATCGGACAATTGGCTAGTGACAGTTCGTAAGCTCGTAGGTGCGGGTGTGATGTGCCGAGTGCGGTGACGGGAGTTGGGAGTCAGGAGGTTGGAACCGTCGAGCTGGGTGCCAGCGAGGTGGAGGTTGCGGTGGGCGGGCGGTGGCGCGCGCGGGCGCTGGATGCGGCAGGGGCGGCGGCGACGGGCGTGGGCCCCGGCGCCGTGATGACGGTGCAGCGCGACGAGCGCGATGCGCGCGCTCCACGCACTCGTTTCATGATAACAGACATCCTCGACGCCGCGCCTAGAGACCTTAGCGCGCATAGAGACTCTGATTCGGATCGGTCTGCTACGGATTCTCCAGGTCAGTGTTTACCTTTATTAATAACTAAGTGACTCCATCAAACTACCTATAAAGAAAAAGAGAAAAAAAATCTATATAAATGTTTACTGACTAATTTATATAATATTATTATTATTATATTATTAATATTTTATTATATACTATAAATTATTAATACGTTTATGTAATTATAAGGTTTTGTTTGTTTGTTTGTTTTTTTTTCATTTCTTGTTTTCGTCATTAATTCACTTAGTTTATTCAATTACATTATTATTTTCAATGCCTTTTCATCATATGTACTATTAGTAAAACAAAATAGGAAATTCAATATCAAGAATAGGGCACTCTTCATTTAATTTAAAATGGTTGCCGTACCGACTAAGAAAAGACATCAACGCCACTGCTCGCCCCAATTATCTCCCGTTACCATTATTATTACAAAAACAGCCTAGACACAAATGTATAATTGTAATTCATACAATATAATTTATTTAATACTAGCAACTTACCCTCGCTTTGCTCATCTGCGTCCCTATGTACGTTTTAAATAGATAAAAATAATTATTGTAAGTGTACTTTAGGAGATGGAAACATGTTATCGTGGGCTTTTCTATAGCTTTTTTAAGGACTACACTTTCTAGTACATTGTTTTGATGGTATGTTAGCCGTTTCGCTGCGAGCGTGTAATAATTTTAATTCTGTGATAACTTCTAAGATATTCATTTTAATGGTATGCTTTAAAGGGCAATTTTGATTTGCATTAAATACACAATATATTTAAATTTATTTAATTGGATAAGGATTATTACTACATATATTGTTTAAAATAGCTTCGTTAAAGCCTATATTTTTTAGTAATGTGTAAAAGATAAAAATGGCTACTGTAGGTTATCCTTAGAAGATAGACAGTATGTCTATCTCCTAAGGATAATGGATATGTCTAAGACATATACCATCGCGGACTTTTCTGTAGACCTTTTTAAGATAATATACAATTCCGTTGTACATTATTTTGATCTATCTCGTAAAGTTAACCAGTGTTAGCAATATAAGCGCCCAAAAATGTTTTTTACGATATCATAACAAATCTTTGGATTCCTTGGCTTTTCTCTACTATAATATATATACATATAAACCTTCCGGATGTAATTCTCTACACGATAGTGAAAACCCTATCAAAATCCGTAGAGTGGTTTAGAAGGAGATAGCGAAGAGACAGACAGACAAAAACAGCGACTTAGCTTTATACTATACATAGATTTACACCATTTTAATTGCCATTGACATATCATTATCATTTTCATATTAGACAATAAGCGATTGACACGCGAATTTTAGCTACCAACAATTATTGACTATAGACGGTTTTCTAAATTATTCAGTGTTAAGCGACATCCATCACATTATGCAGTTCGATAGATCGTTTTCATTTAGTAGATCGTTCTCGTCAGTAGGTAACTTTTGTTTATGGTATTAACAGAGAAGTAACATAATATATATTCTGTCACCTGATAAAAATACATATATACATATATATAGCATTATAGTAGCTATAGCATGAACGTTTTTGCTGCCTAGTTTACCTAGTTTTTGTAATTTTTTACCAAAATATTAAAAGCTAATATAAAAATTAATATGCACCTAATTATAATAAATTAATAGACAAATTATTATCAGTTGATTTGAATAAGTAAACAAGTTATAAATTACGTTATGTAGATTAAATCGCTTTCAAATATATTGCTTAAATATATGCAGATGTAAACATTTCGGTAGGTGTTCTTAAAATGAGACAGCTGAGTGTATGATAAAATTGAGAGTTTGTATTGCCTTTACATTAGTCGAGGTTTTCGTATTCGTACGTTATTACACTTATATGAAAGTGGCAATAGACTATGGTATTTCACAGATTAAGTAACATTAATCAATTCATTTTAAGAAATATGTAGAATAGTTTGGTACTGTTTTTTTATTATTGTTAGCTAGTAAATCCTACTAATATAATAAAGGCGAAAGTTTGTAAAAATGTATGTATGGACGTATGTTTGTTAGTCTTTCACGGAAAAACTACTGAATGAATTTTGATGAAACTTTGCAATAATATTGCTCATACATCCGAACAACCCATAGGTTACTTTTTATCCCGGAAAAAAGTACGGTTACCGTGGGTTAGATTTGTTTTTGTTTTAACTGTAATACCTTATCTATCTATTTACTAGGTATATATTATTTTATCTATATAAACTACTAAATACTTTAAATAATTATTATACTTATTTCAAAGAAAAAGAACAAAAAATTTATTAATCAAACTTAACACAACTGATTATTTTCTTAAACGTTATTTATTTATTTTCTTATCTGGTGTGATGTCAAGATACTGGATCACATCAGTCGTTGTCAAATATCTTTATTTTTCGGATTACGGGCTTTTATTGGGTACGAATACAATTTGTTTTAAAACAAGTCTGCCTTACATCGCCTTAGTAACAGTAAGTCAGCATTGTTATAGCAAATGTAGAAAAGAAATAAAACGTAATTACATATACATATATATATATATATATATATATATATATATATATATATATATATATATATATATATATATATATATATATACCTTTACCTTTAGTAAATATGAGAAATAATATAATATACTTACTTTAAATATAGCTTTAAAAAATGCTAAGTTTAACAAATATCAAAATGTAGTCATAATAACCTATGCTCATTCAAATAATGACAGAAAATATTTTAATAATAATTCAAATATTTATATTATATATTCTTATTATTATTTTATATTAACGCTTCGTACTCAAGGTTCGAATTGTAAATATCACAGAGGAACCTAGAGTGGGAATATCAACACAATGTAGATACCTAAATAGTTTTTTATTTGTATACCTAAATAATTTTGTATTTGTACTTACATAATAAATATTAAAAAATAAAATTTGAATGGTTTCATCCATAAAATTAATGTAAATAGTAAATTATTAACTTTCAGTTATGTATTATTTTTTATACTTATTATATTTTCTTCTTACAGTGAATTATATTTGTTATTAAATATATACATTTTAATAGTTAAATAATAAAATAATAAAATAATTTTATGATATTGAATGGACCACTTAAAATAACAGGCGTATTAATTAAAGACATTATTTCGTGTGAATCTCATCTATGTATATATTTAGATATACCTAATGCAAAAACTGTTCAACTAAATGAAAATGCCTACTTTAAATTTTTAATTATTCTTATATTATCCGTAAAGATGCCAAAAGCTATTATACCAAAGATAATTGTATTTTAAACGAAATAAATCCGGCTGGTTATAATTACAAATAAATTATTGGCATTTATTTCAAAATAATTATACTTGCTCAATGTTAATGTTTCATAAATAGGTGTCTATTAGCGTGAATGTTAAACAAATCGATTGTTTAAATTATAAAAAAGTCTAATAGCTGTTCTTATTCCACGCCTATGTTTGCCTTGACTTTTATAGATAAAGGTAAGAGGCACACTATTACTTTTTTCACTATAGAAAATCATTTAATGGAAAGACATGAATATAGTTAAAATTCTAGTTTATACATGTTATTATAATTACTAATTATTGCAAATGAATAACTATAGATAAAGCAAAAGCAAAAAGGGTCAATGTAGATTAAATTCTTTGATTTGAATTTTATTTTAATTTTTCTAGGTAGTCCTGCGTTATATAAAAACTATTAATGACTAAATACTTGTTTGTGTTCTTTAGTCTTTATTTTACTTTAAATTATTAATTCTGAGTTGCTTTATTAAAAGAAGAAATAATTGAATAAATAAAAAAAATCTAAAAAGCATCATTTAACATTTTATTTTTCACATTGCAAATCAAGGAAAATGAATAAAATTATTAAAATACAAGGTCTAAGCATATCTTAATGATTTTTAATAAAAGTCTTTGTCATCATATCTCATTAATTTTTCTCAGATACGAACTAATTATAATATCTAAGACAAATGTCTAATTATTCACTATAAGATAATTAATTGCTAACATTATAATTATTATTCTATTGGTACTTAAAACTCACACTTAAAACTAATAATATATTATAAATGTGAAACTTAGTGAAAATGTTTTTATGTTTTAATGTTTATTAATCAATTAAGTGTAGACATTTGAGCAAATTTATATGAAATTTGGCACACAAACAGACCATGTTTTGGGTCTAAAGAACAAAATGTTTTTTTTTTCGATATACAAATATGTAAGTTTGAAATATATAATCAATAGATAACGCTGCTTAATAAATAACATTGAAGAAAATAAAGGTACGCTCTTGACACGGGCGAAGCCTTGGGTAGAAACTAGTTTTCTATAGGAACATTATCACTATTTTATTTATACTTAGCTTATTTTAATCATTTAAATTTAATGTTCCAATCGCTCTCAAAATTTATAGTTCTCTAAACAGTTTACGTATACATATATTATGTTAACTATCTATAGTGAATGTTTAGCTTTCAATCGCATTATCCCGTCGACGATTTAATAGACAAGCCGATAAACTCGAAGCGTTAAATAAATTAAATAATAAAACGTATAATGGCGACGATAAATACAACTCGTTCCAAACACTCGGGCCCGAGATAAGTAAGCCTTTATAAAACGGACCAAATTAATCCTGGCTGAAAGGCCTTTTGCCCGAGGGAAAAGAAAAAAAAATGACGTCATAATCAGCTTTTTGTCAAATGTCAAGTTGAGTTCGTTTTTAAACTTTAAATAGCTTACCTAATTCGTGAATGAATGTCCATGGTGGCGGTTTGCAACAGTACAGTTATGAACAAAATTAATAACGCCTAAAACTCTGTAGATATACTAGATATAGATAGTTAGATATTAATCTTTATTGTACACCATATTAGTACAAACCAAACACAAAAAATATATATTTTGAACGAGATAATTTTCTGTAATTATATTTTCAGCATTATTTAAAATAACCATCAGCAAC